TGAGCATGAGAGCGTGATATTGATGGTGAGAGAAATGTGTTCAAGGATAAATTGGCATAACAACGAGTTTCATTGATAAATGATTTTTATTTCAATTAATTGATTGATGTTCAAAAAGATCTTAGTTTTACAACCTCAATTCTGAGATCAAAGAATAAATTTCGTCGTTATTGTACTCTTTTCAGTATAGATTTAACCTTCCTAGAGTATCGTTGCTTTTTCTTTCATATGAAACAGTTTTTTTATTTGAGAAATTTTGCTTGAAAGGTACACTGCAAAACAAATAGGTACATTACGGAACCTCGAAGAAAAGTTCGGTAAACGACAATAAGCTTGCAAATGTGTTCAAAGTTTCAAAAAAAGAATAAAAAAATCCACGGAACCTTTAAAGAATCTTACCGTGTACCCAAGTGAAGGTCCTTTTTTCTTCGAAATATCTTTAAGTTCCATACACCAAAAATTGGTTTTGTAAGAAAATACGAAACCACGAGGTTTAATACGAAACTTTAAAGGTTTTGTGTGTTCCTACAAAACCTATTTTTTGGTGTACGGAACTTAAAAATGTTTTGAAGAAAAAAAGGATCTTCACTTAAGTACACGGTAAGATCCTTTAAAGGTTCCGTGGATTTTTTTATTCTTTTTTTGAAACTTTGAACACATTTGCAAGCTTTTTGTCGTCTACCAAACCTTTTCTCGAGGTTCCGTATAGTACCTTTTTTTACAGTGCAGTGCCCAGTGAAAGTTAAAATTTACAAGTGAAATGTATTTTTTTTATTTGGCTTGTTCCCATAGTTAAGAATGCCGGAGCAGTGTTCTTTTAGTTTAGATTACGCTGAAATTCATCAAGCGAGCGACAAATTTAATTAGTTTTCATTAGTTTTAGCAATATAACAATTAAATGAAAATAATATTTTTTATTGATCCTTTTTACCGAATTAAAATTATATGGCTTACCACAATTAATTATCTATCGTTATTGTACACATTTCTTGCAAATTTTCATTTATTTTATGTTATTTCCTTTGGTTATACACAAAAAAATAATACCTTAAGAGAGAAGAGACAAATAGATAGGGATGAGCAAAACGAAAATAATTTTTCTGCGGCGAAATTATTGCGACGAACTGAACGCGACGAAACGTCGTGCGACAACATGTGCGCTCACCGCAATGGTTGGTGGACGATTTATCTTACCGTTAAGCGAGAAAAATAAGACGAAATCATTCATGCATATTAGGAATAAAACATAATGCAGTAGCTACGTACACTGTACGCGAAAAGGATACCCCAGACAACAAACAAGCGTAAATCATTGTCGATCACCTCTTTCACTCCAATGCTAACATAGATACGTGTTCGCTTTTATTTGATCATTTCAAGCCCCGAGAAGCATTCCAATCATTCAGGCTCAATATTTCCTATAATTATAGGTAGGGTGGGTGAGGGTGTGGATGTGGGTCTGTGTATGGGTTTAGAAAAATATCCCTATCCACACCCATCCTTTTTTTACTGAGAATATGAATGAAAAGGTTTTTACAGTATTATCTTCATGCTTGTGATTAAGATGTAGTTTGATGCATTGTTTGTTTTAGTTTAAAGCGGTTTATTATGTTTTACATTGGGATCCAGGTGTTTTACTTAGTTTTTCCTTTCATTGGTTATTTGCCAGAGTCGAACTGGTTTTAATGAGAATCGAATAGATCCTGCTGTAAATTCACCTGTTTGCGCCAGAAGTACAAAAGAAAGTTATATTCTATATGGTTTGTCGAATAAATAGTGCACACAAACAATAAATGCCATCTTATTATAGGAGGTACTCATTTAGTATTGCTTTGAAAAGTATAACGTTAAATTATTCTTTACAGTCATCTTATAGAATTGCCATAGAGAAAAATAAAAACAAAGAATCACTCGCACTTATTACTTATGAAAGATACTAAATCTAGCTTTTTTTTCTCAAAATATTTGAAATATTTCTCATCGTTTCATGACATTTAACATAGTTTTTTCAGTTCTTCTTACTTTTCTTATAGCAAACTTGTTTATTTTATACAACAATACTTCCTCTGAGATCTCTACAGATCTAATGTAGTACATGAGAGCAATTATCCAGTGAATATTATGGTACTTGAATAAAATCAGCCTCTCTTCATCATATATACACACAAATCTTTATAAGATGATTATTTTTTTTATACTTTTACAGTGTCATACATCTAAATCAGTATACTATAATTTATTCTTGATTTGATATCCATTAATATGTATCAAACCTGTCTATCAATCTATCTACTACCAGTAAAATTTGCAGACCTGGATCCAATGGAGCCCGGCTCCTACCGGAGCCGATTGCCTCTACTCTACATCCACAACCTCAGTAAATTTTAAAAAGCGTGTTACCGATTCAATAAACTTCTGTTAATTATAATTATACTTTTTTACTGAAATACGTGATTAAAAAACTACGCAGAAATTAATTAAATACTGAACAAAAATGGATTAAATACTGAATATTTTTAAATAAAATACTGAACTTTTTGAATTATATACTGAGTAAAAAGTCATTTTTACAGAACAAAAACTACTGAACATCTCATAAAAATTTACTGAACATTGGTAATAAAATACTGATCAATTAAATATAAACCTAACTTTATTTCTACTTGGAGATTTGAAATTTTCTTTTCTTTTCTCTCATTTCTATCTATTTTTTTCTATCTTTACTTAGATCTACTATTCCAATCTCAACTGGATTCTCATGTCAATTGTAACATACATATTCTTAACAGATCCGCTAGGAAATTATTTTTTCTGATAGGTGTTATAATAGCCTGTGTTATAAAATAATATTGTTAGAATGAATCTGTTTGATAAAATTGATCCGAGGATAGTTCGCAGTGTGATATATATGGATTTATCTTATTTATAAGATCATTGTTCCACGTTATACCATATGGAGAAAATATCCCGGAACATTTAAAAGATCTAATAAATCCCACTAAAATAAGTCCCGGTAGCTCCTGTCCAAGCTAATTCCTTAGGCCTTTCAGAGATGCGCTCACTAATTTTGAGCAAAATGAGACAAACTCTCTGAGCCAGTATTCGAAAAGAGCATCAAATTCAGGTTCTAACTCGTGCAGTTTCCCTTATATCGAGTACTTTCAGGTGCGTCAAAATTAACAAACATTTTTGTCCACAAAAAATTTCGGACAACTCGTTAAAAGAAACTATGACTTTTTAGTAAAACTCAACATTATTAAAAGAGTTAAAATTTTTACACCCATTGAGATCTGATATATGCATTCTCAGTCGGAAGCTCCTCGTTCTATTTTAAACACAAATGCAAATGCTCATTGTCACACAGTGAAAGTGCTTAGACTCGTATAAATACAAAGAGCCGCCAAATTTGCGATTAAAAAAAGGGTTCAATATGTTTCGTCAATCGGCTCCTTCAACGCCCTGTTTTTTTTTACCATAGATTCTACGAAGTTTTAAACCTATGACATACTAAAAAGACATTATTTGTTCTAGGCTACGCTCTCGAAATTTTCGGTTCGCATTGCTATTAGGTTCCATATTTATTGTTGTTTTGAACTTATATTACTCAAAATGGAATACTGGTAGAGAAAACATCCGTTTTTCTTTTTTCGAGTGGACCAACGCAGATCATCAACGTTTAAGAAAGCAAGAGTGCCTAAAACACGCCGAAATAAGCAGTTTAATATGGACTCATGATGGCACTGGAATAATGAAATACATTCAGTGGGTGTCGACCAGAAAAATGGGAAATATCAGGATTAATCGATTGAACAATTATTGTAAGATCATTCAGGAGGACTGTTTCATTTCAGATCAGCAAGCTGCCATAGTTATCCAGGTATTCTTGATTCCTTTTACGATAAACTTGAATAATAATTCAAAGTGCTCAACGAGAATTATTAAAATAGTAAATACGGACACAGGACGCCTTCAACACGTTTATTTTAAGAGAAGATCCATTAAAGCAACAGTTTTCTATCATCTATTGGATAGAATTAGAAACTATCATAGTTCTATAATCAGTTTATATGCTAGATTGCAAGAAACCCATGAGAAAACTGCTTACATCACGCAATCTTTTCCAAGATATTTCATGGATAATGTGAATATCAAATGGATAATAGTGAATTCGGAAGACTTAGTTCAGTCAAGTTTGGTCGACTGTGAAAGGATGTTAACAAAGTTCCTTGCATTATTAGGGTTGAAGATCTCAGCATCAAAGTTGAGAAATATTATTCAATATGACTCTCATCAGTTCATCAATGAATCTGTTTGGTGGGATCAGTCTGAGATTGCTGATAACATCTTATCGATGTCGGTCCCATCTCGTTCATCGGCATCTATATACTCTAACGATTTTTATTTCTTATATGGAAATCAATCATTTTTACAATACTTGTCTGATAATCGCCAATGTTACAACCAAGGAGCATTTCCCCAATTACAATCTGAAACTCTTTCAAATCGCTTTTCCAGTGATAAACCAGAAAGATGCTCGCTAAAACCGTTTGACTGTGCTTTTGGTGATTTGTATTCTTTTGAAGATCGAGATCAAATGTATCAGCAGCCCAAGATTCTGAAATATTTTGACCGAAAACCACTTAAATGTGGCTTTGCCATTCCATCAATATTCGATACAGTCAGATATAAGTATGGTCGCAACCAAACATGCCAAACCGTAGTTTTTACGGTTGTCACAAACTGCTACGATCCTTTGCCTGAAGTAGAAGGTCCAATACTACCCTCGTTTTGCTTTATTGCCTTACTAGACACACAGACTCTTAAAGCCCATAGAATATTTTATGCTAAAGAGAAACGATCAACCAGCGATGATGTTCAATGGGATTTAATCGATTTAGGAGCTAATGCATCACCCTTCCTTGCTTCTGCTAAATCAATTGAAACACTTAAACTCGTTGGGCCGCGAATGTTTCCCGTGGCTAAATGGATTATTTGGCTCGATGGTAAGGCATATATTCAGAATATTGGTGATATATTATTACAAACACAATCTCCAATGATTATACCGTCTCATCCTGATACAACACGCACATCGGCATCTGAAGTGGAACCCACCATTGTACGGTTGAAATCGAGAGAAAAGTCGTCGTCTCAACAACTAAACATTAGTATAGCAGAAATT